TATCACTGACCAATCAGAATGCTTGCACATAGATAGAGATAGAGGAGACAGGTAAGACAAGCTCTAGTTTCTTTGTTGTGTATTTCATCTTGATACTATATTTGTTTTATAGATCTTTTTGTGTTCATTCAATTCGTCAGAGCTGTCATTAAGGTTGCTAGACGTTTTAGATGGGAAAGCTTGTTTGCAGTAGGAGAATCGGGTTTAATGCTTTTAAAATGTATTTGTGCACACCAATTTTGCATGCTCGTCTTTACTAAAATTATTATTTTCTTGACCTTTTATTTTGGGGTCAGGTTAAAAAGTGGACGGGTTGTTATGGTGTGATGGTTGGTTATCGATAGCAACGTCAATCGTGTATCGTATCACCGCAATTCTAAATCAGCTTCACTTTATGAATGTTACGTAACGACTTTTTTCTCTTTATTTTTTTACTTTGGAAATTTTATGCAACGATAGTTGTCTTTTTTTTTAAAAAAATTTGGAAACATTATACAATGACATTTTATCTTTTTTTTTTATTTATGTAAATTAAAACAACATAAAATACTAGCGTAACTATATATGTGCTATCAAACCAATCTTTAATTTAAAATAAAAAAAATTAATACAAATCAGCACGTGAATTATATGCTTATCAAATCATCGGATTCGACTTTTATCTGGATATTCATTCAAGTTTTTAACCAAATATTCGAATATTAAAAAAAAAAAAAAATTGAAAATGAATATCCGGATTTTTATTTTTTGACCATATTAGGCCTCTATTCTTCTTCAATTCCATATACACCAAAGTCTAAGACATCAAACCACGTTACAGAATTTCTTTGGACCGCAGCAACACATCTACGCTCATCGAATCTAACTTGCCTATTATAGATATTTTCGTCAGATTATATCGTTAAAGTGTTAATAATAAATCATAAAAATAACTAATATATTACCAGACTCCACTTAAGCCAGTTAATAAGTCTCGTTGTTGGCGACCTGTCTTAACATCCCACATTCGAAGTGTTCCATCTGATCCCGATATAACCTTACTCTCATCATGTTGAAAACATGTAATGGCTCCGGAATGTGTAGTTAAAACATGTTTACAAGTTCCATCGTCAGGATTCCATATACGAAGGCTAGAATCAGCAGCAGCAGAAACAAGAAAGTCATGTGAAAGATCTAGAAGACCGACAAGAGATGAATGACCTGTAAAATAAACCAAATTAATTGGTCAAAATACGTTAAATTATAAATAAAATATCTATATACATTCATAAATCCTAATACATATCTAATATATATCTAATATTTATAGATTCTCATTCATACCTTCTAAAGTCCAGACAATTGTTCCATCCTCTAAACTCCATACCTTTACCGTACCATCCATACTTCCGCTCATACATCTTTTTCGTTTTGCGTCTAATACAACAGAGTATACTTTTTGTGTATGTCCTATTAATCGCCAAAGGCATTCACCGGTCATAATGTTCCAAACTCTCACTGAACAGTCGTAACTTCCGCTTACTAAAGTGTTTCCAACTCCTGCTAAAGCACGAACTGAATGTGAATGTCCCTGAAGTGTACGAACAAAATAAGGATTTTCCGGATATGGTGAATTATCTGATGGTGATGATGGAATTATAGGTTGATATTGAGGATCATTTTTTTCAAGATTTGGAAGACGCCAAACTTTTAAGGTGGAGTCCCTTGATCCCGTAACTATCAAAGGATAAGTTGGTTCAATAATTGGTGGCTCATTAGGATTCGTATTGACGTTTTGTGGCATTATAATCTGAAGACATCGAACTGTACTCGTATGCCCTGGGAAAACATGTGTGCAAATGCCTTTTTCAAGGTCCCACACTCTTACGGTTCGATCCGTAGAACCTGACACTAACGTTTTATCAACGTATTGTAATGCCCAAACACCTCCATCATGACCTTCAAGTCGATTAATTAATTTACCCGTTGAAGTTTCATATACATTAATGCATTGATCATCAGATCCTGAAATTATCTTTTCTGAATCAAATTGAAGACATGTAACAACATTATTGCCATGACCTTGAAAAGATATATGTTTATGCCGACCATTAATCCAATTTTGTCTCATAAGATAATGACGACGGTAAATAGCTTTATATGGATGATTTGCAGATGGTGGAAGTGGTGGTTGTTCTTCTGAAGGTTCGATATTATCATTACTTTCTTGAGACATAGCATCAACATCACTATCATCCCCATCATAAGGATGATCATCATCATGATGAGTTTCTGTTTCAAGTCGAAAATCATTCCATTCATCATCAGCTCGAGCCTTTCCTTTATCTTGCCTTGCGACAAATTCTTTACCAAACAATGAACTAGTACCAACCGAAGAAGAAGATGGTGGTTCATCAGTTCCTGTTGGTGAAAGAGTGACGGAATCTTGTAATTCATTATTATTACTATCAACAATCAAACTATCTTTTTGATCTGAAATGTCAATATCAACTGAATCAACTGCCATATTATCATTACTAAGATTAGTCCTATACACATCTAATCCAGATGATGAACCTTCTTTATCTTCATTAACTACTCTCATATGATCAGTTTCATCATCATCAATTTCTACAACAGTTCTTTCTTCAGAAGATGAAGTACCACTTTCATTGTTCGTACCATCCAATTGTCTATTTATACTATGAGTGGATTTTATCGGGCGTAAAAGTCCCCAGTTTTCTGCAATGGCACGTGCTTCCTCATTAGCATCTAAACCGAATCCATCTAATTTCAGGCGACGTTGCCATGTCAAACCATCACCATCAATAACATTTCTCCATCTTTTACTAACTTGAGCAGCCCTACACATACTTCCAGCATCTAAGTATCTCACTATATGTAGACTGAGTTCAAGAGGAAGTGTTCCAACAAAATCTTTCCTTAAAGCTGGTAAAATAATATTACTAACATATTGGAGAGTATTTGTTGGGCAACGACGAAGAAGCTGGAATAACATATAAGATTTCATTGAAGCCGGTAAAGCATCAAACGTTGTAAGCATAGTGTTCAAATCCCATAAGCTAGGAGTATTAGATGTATCAGTAGTTGTAGTTTGTTGTAAACTCCAATTTTCATTGATACTGGCAGATAATGGCTCATCAACAGTGACATCATCATCATCCACGTCGTCACGAACGGAATGTTCAGCGAAATAAGTTTCAAATTGATTAGTGTTACGTGAGGTTGAAACACCAGTAATCGGAGACAGTGAAGGAGATGGAAGAGCAGATGAATGAGTACTTCTTGTAGTTGAAGGAGTATCCATTCCAAGGTTTGAAGTCGATATAGTATTAAAAGGTCTGGATGCAGTAGGAACCTGTTGAGTAATTATTGAGGTTGATGATTCACCTTGTACAGTACTTAATGGAGTATTAGTTCTTGGTATTGTAATTCCTGAACTAATATTATTGTCCAGAAAATCTGTATTAAATTCCATCCATTGTCTCTGTGAGGCCAGCTCGTTTTCTTGTTCCAACATAGAGTTTACAGGTTTTGCACGGACTTTTTTATGAGGAGGAGATAAAGACCTACGTTCTCGTGATAGTTTAGTATAAGTATTTATACTATTTTGATGTCGAGCGTTAGCAGAGAAATCGATTACTGGTTCAATAGGAGAAGCTGGTCTTTTACGAGCACCACCTCCAGAAGGTATAGAATCTATATAATTATCATTAAATGATTGCTGAGTCGAAGTAACACTTTTCTTGACCGTTCTCGTTGTTGGGGTAGAAGACGCGCGCATATTATACAAGGCTTCTTGAAGCTAAAATATGTCAATAAGTACATGATAAAATCAACGTATCATAAAATTTAATATACGAACGTAATTTATTATAAACAAATAAGTAAAATTACTATAAATAATAACACTCCACATTTAAATCACAATTTAAAAAAGTATTCTTTCGCGCGAATATGCATACAAGTTGTTTAAGGTACTCTTTTTTTTTTTTACGATAATAAAAATTTATAACTTGAGATTTTATAAAGATTTGAAGTTAAACCCACCTTGATAATTTGTTGTTCCGAATCTTCGTCCTCTCTAATGTAGGCAGGTTGTCCGTTCAAATCGAAGCAAAAACGTTTAAGCGCCGGAGGAGTTGGTGTATCAGCCAAAGGATATTCCTTTGGATCTAGCTGTCTTGGTAAAGGTGGAGGTTTTAAAAGCAAGGGAGGAAAAGTTGTTGTCGTTGTGGTTGTTGTGGTGACAACGGTGGTTGTGGTTGTGGGTGCTAAA